CTTGGGGGTGGCATGGAATGTGGCACGGAGTGAATGTGGCACGGGGGTGACACGCAGAGGGAATAGAGTCGCACGTGGGCACATGGGGGTGGGACACGGAGGGTGAAGGGGGGCACGCTGGCTGGCATGGAGGGGGAATAGGGGGGGGCATAGTGGCATAGGGGTGGGAAGAGAACGAGTGTGAACACGTGTGCATCAAGCATGAGGGGTCTGGGAGCAACACCCACAGCCCTGGGCAGCTGGAACCACCGGCTCAGCACCCAGGACCTTCCCTGAGGAAGAACTTCTTCCCAGTGAGGGTAACAGAACACTGGGACAGGCTGCCCAGGGAGGTTGTGGAGTGTCCTTCTCTGGAGATGTTCAAAACCCACCTGGACACGTTCTTGTGTGATCTGATCTAGGTGGTCCTGCTCCAGCAGGGGGATTGGACCAGATGATCCTTTGAGGTCCCTTCCAATCCCTGACATTCTGGGATTCTGTGAATGGTGCCCATCTCCGCACAACCCCACAGGCTAACAGCCACTGATGCTGGGTGCTGCTGCCCACCAGGTCCATCCTTCTCATGACCCAACTCCAGCTATGGATTAATGAACTGCCAAAAAAACCCCAACCCAAAGCATCCCATAAACCAGCCCTCCCACCCCCTCCAGAAATGAAATCACATCTGATGGAAAAATCTGTAAATCCTGAACCCCTCCAGAGGCACGAGCATCCTCCCAGCTCCCAGCATGGAGGCAAACTTCAGGGCCAGCCTTGCTTCTCACCAAGCGGCTGGGCTGTCTCCTCCCGTGCGTGCCAAGGGTACCCACAGCAGTAAATATCCGGCTTTTATTTCTGTAAATACTTGGCTTTTATTTCTTTGCTCTGCCCACCCCTTCCCAGGGGCAAGAGGCAGAAAAAGCCTTTCCCCATAAATTCCAGGGAGAAAGCAAAATGGGGAAGAGGAGAAAGCCTCAACGATTTACAGCCAAGCATCAGGTGCAGCAGCAGACCTGGAAGCTCAGGCAGTGGTTTTCTCCATCCAAATTCTTCCTTAAAATCCCCCTTCCCCAGCTTTCCCCTGCCTGCACCGCTAACCCAGCTCAGTCCCTGCACTGAGATGCTGCCCATCCTAGGCAAACCCCTGCCTCCTGCCCAGCACCATTTCTCCCCCCTCCTCTTCCTTCTCACCAATCTTCAGTTTTCAGCTCACATAGCTCCCCAGACCTGCTCCGGGTGAGCAGCCTCAGGACAGCCCCAGAAACCCCCGTCCACCCCCTCCTGCAAAGCCAAACCTGGAAAACGAGTGTGCACAGTGCTGGGGAGGCTGCAGGGTGCACCTGTGGTGGTATGAAATGAACAATTAGGCAAAACAGCAATTTAGAAGAGACCCTGCTTCATCTGCATAAATTAATTGGGTCCTAATTTGGGGCAAATGGCCAACACAGGCACTGGCAACACCTCTTCCAGCTCTCCAGCAACATGGGGACCAAGCAGCCATCGCTGTTCTCCTCTGGGGCTGCGACACAGGAAGCTTTAATTAGAAAAACTACCTTTTTTGTGCATCTCGAGAGGGAGGTTGAGCTGCTCTGGGGATGCAGCACAGCAGCATCTCACCCTCGCTGGTCCCCACAGGTGCCCCATCCCATCCCACCGGCAGAATTAGGTGGCTCCAAACCACCCCCAGAGCAGAGCCACGACGCCAAAATTTCCACAGCAGCTGCTGCCTGTGCCAGTGGTGATCAGAGGAGAGCAGCTCCAATTAACCAGATGCCTGTAGGTCACACACCCCCCACAGCACAGCAGCAGCCAGTTCTCCAGCTGCCATGGGACAACAGCAGCATTGCCACCCCAAACATCTTCGCTTTGTTCATCCTGCAGCACAGGACATACCAATACTCTTAAGAAAAGGGGCATGTTTTCCCTCTTCATCTCATTCAGGGCTCCAGGGACATTGTTTTATTGCCACTTAAGGACACAACAGCAGAAGCAAACAGCTTTGGTCCCAGGGCTCTATGTAACACCATCTACCACAGGCTTGTGTCCAGCACATGCAGGAAAAAGGCAAATAGCTCTGCCCTTTCTCTTCTTCACTTGCTTTTAGCCAGCAGAGCATCAGCAAACAGCAACCTCTCTGCCAAGCTCCCGTAAGGGACAGCCCTGCTGTGGGATGCCCCAGGGTCCAAAGTCAGGACAGCCATGCGGACCCCAGCTCCGGTCTGTGTCTCCATTTACACTGAGGAAGCACCTGCCTCAGCTTCCCTTTACCTGCTGAAATCCAACCATCCCCAGATGCCATATCAGCAGCACGCTGCGAGAAGGTGCATGCAGTCAAGCTGGGGCCCTTCATGTTAACCCATGGGTGCCAACAGAGGCTTTTCATGGACACTTGTTTCAGCCACTGCCTTATCACAGGTTTAAGTACATAGAAATAAAACCCCAAAATCACTTTGCAATTCACAGCTCCAGTGTTTTAATATTAACTAAGCAATACCCAGCTCCAGCACACATGATCAGGGCCACACACCCCCTTGCAGGGCACAGAGCACAACCAGACTTTGACTACTTAACTCTTTTTTCCTAGGTGACCTGGAGGAGAAATGCATTAAATCCTCTGATGAACAGATCCAGGGTAGAAGAAGTGATTCTGCTTCCTGGAGAGATTTTTTCCCTTCAGATTAGGTTACCTGTCACATCACCTCTCACTGCATCTAAGGAAGCAAAGCTCTGAACCCACTCAGGGTCATTTTGAAGAGTCAAACTCCCCAGAGCAGGGAGGAGGAAGCTGCCACCGTCATCTTGCATGGAGCAAAGCTCTTGAGATAGCTTCAAGCCCTGGGGACTGAGGGGTCCCAGCAGAGCCTTCCGCAATCCATCAGCACTACAAGGATGAAGCAGTGTGTCCAGCAGCTTCTTATGGACCTGTAGCACATAAGATTTGTGTAACACATCCACGAACAGAGTGGTATGTATAGCTGCAGGGATGGACATAGGGCATCAGAGCTTGCTGAAGCTGGAGACAATAGCCACACCAACTCCATCCTCGCCTTCAGCTCAGCCTGCAGCTAGAGACTAAAGTGGGAGGGAAGGACTCCTCTCAGCAAGGGGCAGTGACATGCAATGGAAACCTGAAATACAAGTCCTCAGTACTAAGGGACAGCTCTAGGCAGAGCCAGATCAATGGGCCCCAGGCTAGTGGACAGCATCTGGGAAGCTGCAGTGGGAGGTGAATTAGCTCCCATGGCAATAGTTGCCTCCAACACAACCTTGCTGCCGGAGGACCAGCAGGTACTCCTGTGTCCAGACCCCAATACTTCCATGTGGAACAGCACATACAGGAGAGAGAGAGACCCACCTTCCCCAGCCAGTTTCCTTCTCTGCTAGAAACATCTCATATGGAGGTGGTCTCACCTGGAGAAGGGTGAAACCCCTCTTGAATAGCTTTTCCAAGCTGCTTCAGCCACTCCAAGTCAAGCCTAGAAGTTTTAGCATAAGCACGGAGATCTGTGGGTTTGGTGTTAACACCCTGCTCTCAAGCAGCATAATGTAGCTAGCAGAAAGGTTCTGGCTATGCTTTCCACCCAGAAAACATGCCCAGGAGCTCCAACACATTTCTGCAGGGCCTTAAGATACTATGGAAAAAAAGTCTGTTTGCAACAGCAGCTTATAAACACAAAAAAACCCACCTCAAAAGCCAAGTAGTACAAAGCCAGAAGTGCAATTTATTGAACTAGTGTCAAAAGTAAAAAGACTCAGCATCTTTGTTCCTCTTGGTTTGGACATCTGAGCTTTACCAAGACACCTCCACCCACCAGTTCAGGGCTGTGTAGTGCTTCATCGTCAGAAGTTGAAGTCTTGCTTCTTCACTGAGAAATCATATAGTCCATCTTGGCCAGTCCCAGGCTGGAGATCTGGATCTTCCTAGGAGGAAGTTGGTGGCCATGATTTAAAGGTTCTGCATCTTAACAAACCTAAGCTCTTTGCACCAGAGTTTGCCTGAAGTTTTTGGTGTGTGTTTTTTTTTTTCCACAGCAGCTTTATCCTTGTTTTTTAAAAAAAAAAATCTGCTACTGTAACAAGCTATTAAGATGAGCTTGACTAACAGGGTCCTTGGAGACCAGACCAAGCCCTGTAAAGAACAGGAGAACACTGAAGCTGCAGTGTCCCTGCACCTCACACACAAAAAGCAATCAAGTCTACAGGCTCAGTCAGCCCCCAGCCATAGAAGAGTGGCTGGAGTGATAGAATTCACTGAAATTAAGTAGTCTGCTTGGAACAGCAACGAGCCAGGACTGCTTCGGAGAGATGGTCCCCCCGGCATCCAGCCCCTCAGGCAGGTGCCGGTGTGTAGGAGAACTTCCTCCACACCCTCTCACAGGGACATCCAGCAGATCCTGTTCTGGGCAGAGGACTACCACAGACATTTGCTCTCTCCTGCTGCAGCTCACATCTAGACTGAGTCTCAGCTCTGAGACCTGCCTCTTCCCCGATGTTTCCCCATCTGTGAGACCAAGGCTAGGACCAAGCATGGCACTCGTGACAGTCTTGGGACTCCTGCAACTGCTAGCTGGTGTCCTATCCTCTTTTTCCATAAGTTCATTAGCATGAGAAGGGTCAAGTAATCCAAACGCAACATGAGCACGGTTATCAGCTGAGTAGGAGGCTTCCATTCATAGTGACAAGCTAGCTCAGCTCCGAAGGAGGAAAATTCTCCACATTTGGTATTCATATCAGCAACTGCAGTAACTCCAGCTGATGCCAGTTTAAATTCCAGCAGCAAGATGCTATCAAGGCATCCATAGCTGTTGTGCAACTCACCAGCTGACAACTCAGAGCTTTTACAGACCTTAAAAGCAACTGGAACAAGTCACAAGGACCACTCTAGTCATGTAGAGGTGCCTTCCAAAAACCTATTTCAGCATCCTTAAAGTCTGTGCTTCATTCCAGTGTGTAATAGCTTCGTATTTTCAGATGGGAAACAGCAAGAGCTCACATACCTCACCAGAAAAGTATTTCTCTATGATATTCAGTGCAGCTCGGTAGATCATGTTGTTGTCGTGGGTTTGCAAGGCTTCAATTTTCTCCAGACCATCAAGCTCTTCCACTAGCAGACACAGCCTTTCTGTCTCTCCCAGCTTCTCAGCTGCCTGTGACACCAGGCAAACATAACCCCACATCAGCAACAGGTCTGAGATGGTCTTTACTGTAAGACCCTGATCTGCAAGTCAAGCGACCATGGTCCTGCATTTACAGTCCCTACCTGGTGTGTGTTTAGCAGAAATCCCAGGAATACAACTGCCATGCATATGAAACATCAGTCCCTGCCGGGATCACTGCACAGTGGCTGGTCTGCCAAACAAGCTGGCCAAACTCTACCTGGTTACATGCACACACTGAGAAGCAGGAGGTGTGACCCGCCACCCACTATTTCACTTGCAAAAGCCACATCACTGGTTCAAAGGCACTACAAGAAACAGGCTTTCAAGGGAGAGGCAGGTAGGCATCAGCTGGCAGGGAGCCAAGCTGAAACACCCCCCAGGACCACTTGATTTCTCTGCAGTTGCATTTCTCCAAGACCTTCACCTCTGCCCACCTTGGGGATTAACACATAACCTCTTTTCCTTTCCAGAAGGAGACTAATGTTACAGGAGGTGAGGAAGAACATTTTGGGAACTTAATGTTGTCAAGCCCTTTGAATAACCCAAGAACAAGCTAGGCAACATGAAGTTTAACTCTTACTCCTGCAAGATCAGTAGCTGCTGTAGAAGGAGCTCTTCCAGCCACACAACAGCTCATATCTTGCTGCTCTTTCAGGACAGGAAGGCAAGAGATAGTAGGAGATCTTACCAGGAACATATTTGAAATGGCATCCAGGATGACCAGAATAGTTTTGCTGTCTTTGGCCAAGAGCAGGTTGAGCAGAGGTTTGAGGACGCCAGACTGGATGAGCTCCACCACCTGCTCCACAGTGCCTCCTGTTGTGAAGTTGGCCACTGCCCACACAGCTTCTTTCTGAGCTTTGAAGTCCCCCTAGAAGAGCAGCAAAGTGAAGGCACTCCCAAGCTTTAGCATCCCTCAAAGATCAGTGTGAGGTGAGGACAGCCATCTCCCTTGTATTCAGTCTGGGCTGACCCATCTTCCCTAGCACTTAGTGATGGGTGGACACCTGGCAGATCTGCTGAGAGCAGCTCCTAGCCATGCTTTCTCATGCTAGTGCACTGAAAAGTCCAAGTTCCCAGGCTGCCCCAAGGATCTCAACAGCTTTGAAGCAGATTACTCAGGTGGGCACACGCTGAGTACTTCACTAATAAGGCATCATGGACCTCATGAACCTCAGCACCACTTCCCCAGCAGCTCTATGCACAGTACTGCACCCATCCCTTACCTTATCAAGGAGCTCCACCAGAGGTGGCAATAACCCACAGGTGATGAGTTGCTGGATCTGCTGGCAAGGCCCTGCTGCAATGTTACTGAGCGCCCACGCAGCTTCCTTCTGTATAGTTGGCTTTGCATGTCGCAGGAGGCAGGGCAGGACAGCCAAGACACCAGCATCAATAGCTGCCTGGGTCTGCTCATCGGTCCCTGTGACTACATTCCCAATGGCACGGAGAGCTGGAGTCTAGACAGAGATTAGAGGAGATGAGGAGAATCCTTACCTCAAGGGATACATGCTAAAAAGTCTACAAAGATCCCTCACTACATGCTTGATCCTTCAAATAAGGAAAGCACCATGGGTGATTACCATTGTATTTACAGGCCTATTGTCCTCCTGTTTTGCTCTAAGCAGCTTTAGAGTCTCTATTCAGTCTGGTGGCTTGACCAACAAGCAAGTAATACTGCAGTCTGAGGAGACAGCAGACCACACTAGCCACACACAGTAAGGGACATGCCTTCCCTCTCCTCAGATGTTCCTGCATTAAGGGACCAGAGGCTGAAGATTGTTGATTGTATCCTACCATAACAATCAACTCTGGGCTGGCCATGAGCTCCACCAGCCTTGGGAGAATTCCTGTATCCACCACAATTTGGATGCGATCATTGGCACTATCAGTCAGATAGGAAACAGCCCAGCAGGAGTCAGAAACGATCTCCTTGTCCTCATGTTCCACAAGGCAGATGAGGACCGGCAGCATGTTCTTCACCGCATCCAGAGGAGGGTAGGGGTTCTTGTTCCTACAGAGGTTTGACAGTGTCCACGTGATGTTCCTCAGGAACCCAACCTGAAACACAAGAGAGGTGTAAGAGCCTCACTGCAGTAACAAGTGAGGAAGAGGTAGCACCCTGCTGCTGGTCCCTATGGCTCAGAGATGTTACCGAGCAGCCAGAAGCAGCCTTCTTGAGGGCTGAGGCTTATTTGAAGGGGGATGAAACAGGTTAAGTGACTAAAACAGTAGCTTCACTCCCTCCCTCCCCAATATTAAGTTCCAATAACTTCAGCTCTGGCAGTGTGACAAACTACAACAACTAACAAAGGTGCCAAATAGCTTATTTGCTGCGTCCTTGGGACAAGTTAGAGCATTCTTTGGACAACAAGAATTTGTTTAGTTTTTTAATTTTAGCATTAATAAAAATTAGCAGGTCATTGTTCTAGAGTAGGGCACCTCAAGGATTTGATTAAGTTGCATCATTTAGACAGTCCATCCCAGTAAGGATGCTGGCACAGGGCAGTGGAGCTACATTCAAAGCATCACAGCCACCAAAGCGTGTATATGAACTGGTGTTTTGTCCTCTTTCTTCTACAGGGCTCCCTAAGAAGAGGCAAAGCTGAGTCAAGCTAGGAACCGAGCAGCCAAAAAAGTTGGTTAGTTTCTGTTTTGTGGGATTTTTGTTTTTAAAACAAAAACATCTTCCATTATAAACTCACAGAAGACCTAGAAGGTGTTTCCATAATACTAGCATGAAAAGCCATAGTTATGCCTACAGAAAGCAGATAGCTTCCACCACCTTCAAGGACAGGACACCTGGAGGCATTGGTACCACTGTTACAGCCCCTCAGAGCTTCTCAGTCCACCTTATGTTTCTCTAAAAAGGTCCTTCTTGCCTAGAGACCAAGCAAGCAGCAGGGCTGGCACCACTGCAGAAGGGCAGACGTAAGCCACAAATCCAGCAGCTCAGAGCTACCCAAAAAGCAGCAGGAGGAAGCTTGAAGGGCAAGTTCAGCCCTTCCACATGCATATGCAAGTTCTCATCCTATTCCTAGCTTGAGGTAGCTTTCTCATCCAGCTTTGACTAAGACTAGAAGTCACATCAACTTGAAGACCATCTGCTTGGCACCCTCAGCTTTGTCTACAGCTCTGAGACAGGGTCATTAAGAGCAGTTTAGGACAGGATCTCATTCAACGATACAAACAGCTTGTTTGTAAGGCAGATGATAGGTCACCATTCGCCCATTACCCAAGTGATTAAGAGCTGTCAAGTCAAGAAAATGAAGGTTATTTACTGGAGTTACAGGTGACACCAGAGCCAGCAAGGGAGGAATCGCATTGCAATTGATAAGAGCATCTCTGTATAGAGGACCATCACCTGTACAGATGAAAAAGGGTTGTTTATTGGATCTGCCCAAGTTACAAGACAGAAGATATCAAACAGCCATCAAACTCATAGGTACCAGGGCTGGGTGACTGACCTCACCCACCAGCAACACACCATTGAGTATTTTCAGGTGGGGAGTATTCACCAGGTAGACTGGAGTGCCATCATAGCTAGTTTGTGGCAGGCTGACCAGATATGACCCATTCTATTCTCCCTACTGATGATGCTAGCAGGTTAGACCATCTCAGCAGGATGGAGTCTTGCACATGGCTTTGGCCAAAATCCTCTTGCAGAGCCAGAAGAGTCTTAAAAGGCTGCCAGGCCATGTGAAGGGACTGAAGGGTTAGGGATTTCAGAAGGAGCAGCAGCTTGGAGACAAAGCTGCAGGGAGACACAGCTATCTTGGAGGAACATTGGTATTTTTAGCTCCTCAGCACTGGCTTGGGCTGAGACCCTCATCATGCCCCCAGGCCTGGAGACCTCCGCTTACCTGCAATGTTGCCCAGTGCCCACACAGCCTGCTCACTGATGTGCATGTGTGGGGAGGACAGGAGGGAGATGAAGGCTGGGATGGCACCTTCCTCCACCACTGCCCGGGTGTGCTCAGAGGTGCCCGAGGCGATGTTAGTCAGTGCCCAGGCTGCTTCAAACTGCAGCGGAGCGCTGTCAGCACGGGCCAGGAACTCAACCAGCCTGGGGATGATCCCCAGCTCAATGATCTGATTGATAGGGGGGTCCTTCTGCCTGGACAGCATTCTTCTGCAAGAGATGGCACAGCACAGCCCACCATGAGAAGCCATGACAGACCATAACCCTGTGGCCAGGTACAAGGCTGTGCCCTGCAAGGGAAGTGGGACCTCTAAGAGATGCTAAATCAGCATCCCTATGTCAGCAAACCCTCTGGCAGAGGAGTTGCCATAGAGAAGCTTCTGTGGGAGACATCTAAGAAGACACTGAAGCAACAGCAGGATGTCTGTTATAAAGCTCCCCAGCTCAGTGAGGTGGGCAGCTCCAGGAGCCACAGCCAACCCCTTGGTTGGGTTCAACCAACACAGGTCCCTGCCACAGGCACTGCCCAGGACGGTGATGGGGCCAAGCAACACATGCAGGGTACAAAACAGGCACCAGCTGAGGTCCTTCAGGGAAGTTTGCAGCACCAGGCTCCTTCCCCCTTTGTCACCTCCTCAGAGCAGCTCTTCAACAGCCTTCTGCTGACAAGACCCACCACTGCTCCATCAGCCACCTCCCTCCCAGCACGGAGGGCAGCGTACCTGGTGGCCTGCGTCGCCTGCAGCTGCAGCTCCGTGTTGTTCCCGTTCACAGCTTCAACGATTTCCTCCAAGGACAGCTGAACGATCTGTGTCACAGGGGATGACTCAGAGTCAGACACCAAGCCAGGGCTCCCTCTGGTTTAATCTCCACAGCCCATCAGCTGTCTAGACCCAAGTCAGCCGCCGCTTCATATCTAAGCAATGTCTACTCTTTATGCAACGCAGTTTCGAGATGAGGCAGAGGAAGAGAATCCACAAAAGCCTTCAAGGCAACTAACCCTTATAATCAAGCACGGAGAGTCACTGACACACCGTAATTACCCCTCGCTGCGCAGGGAGCCAGACGGAAGCTTCACCAGCTCCCAGCAAGCTGGAGCACCAGCCTGTTCTACCTGCCACAGAAGGAAACCACACGGGACACCATGTCCATGCAAAAATAACACAGAAAAAGGGCTAGGTAGTCTAAAACTCCCCAACACTGCACATGGCCATCAGGAACAGCACTGACTACTCAACCCAGGTCACTTGAGCTGGACTTGGTGGTGGACCAAGATACCTACTACACAAGCTGCTTGGGTGCAGAGCACCCAGCACTCACCTCGTTTACTTTGTCTTCTCCCAGAGAGGGACTCTCCTCCATCACCCTGAACGAAATACTCCTGCGCTTCAGGATCTGCTCATCCTTCTTGGCCTTCCGCAGCTCAATGTTCACCTCCGCTCTCTGCCTCCGCAGGGCCTGGAGAGGGGGACACCACCCCACCAGTGTTTGCACCACCCAGTTCCCTAAGGAGCTTCCCTCTGCCCCAAGTTTCCTACACGAGGAGGGCAGAGCACCAGTACCTGCTGTCAGGCAGCTCCTTGCTATGACCTGGAGGGTTACAGAGGAGATGGGACAGGGTGAAGCCTCATTCAGTGCCTCCCAAGGACATGGGCTGCTGGATGAACCAGCAACCAGTGTTCTTAAAAGTAGATTTGCTCAACCTGAAATGTAAACTCTCATCTCCCCTACTGGCTTAAAGCAAGCTGACAGATCCCACAGTCTGACATCCCGTACCAGCCCCCTCTCCACAGGGGTAACGGCTGTGGAGAGCTCAGCAGGCTGGGGCTGAGCCTTCTCCCTCTCCAGCACCTTCACCAGTGCAGCTCAGAGTCACCCACCCAAAGCTGGTGTCCCCCTTGCCTGTGCCACCACCCTCCCCACAGCCCAGCCAGCTCCACACCACATCTCAACAGCCAAGGGCAGCACAAGAGGGTACTTACAGCTGCATCCTTGCCCTTGTTCTTGAACTTCCTCATCCTCCCACTGTGCTCGTTCACAGCCGACATCTCAGCAGGTTTGAGAGGTTCCAGCTGAACGTCTTCACGTTCTTTTGGGGTTCAGGAAAGAGGCTCAATGTCAGGTCATAATCACACAGCAACACCCACTTCCATCCACAGAGAGGACTGGGACCCCACCAGCTCCCGCCAACAGCCTATGCCACACCTTTTCTCCCTCACCTCCCTGGCACAGGAGATGCTGGAGGTCCCCTGCCCCAAGAAGAGCTCAGCAGGATCCTCACAGGCTGCAGCTGAGCCACAGAACTAAACACGAGCACAAACTACCACTTAACACCAGGCTACAAAAATTACAGCTGCTGCTGCTGTACTCCCGTGAGGAAGCTGGACACACCACTTCTCATGGTCACAGCAACACCACCTTCCCCAGTTCCAATTCTAGGGCTTTTCAGTTCATCTAGACACTGACAAGGCCTCTTGCCTCCAAGAGTATCAACTTAAAGTCCAATTTAAGGACAAGTAGCCACATCCAAGCCTGCCCCCTCAACCCCCTCCACAGCCCAGCTCAGCCTCATACACAAGGAACCCCCACCAGGTCATACGCAGTGGCACAAAGTGACCAAGTCCAACTAAGCAGAGTTCATCTGGAAACCCAGCTACTAGTGAGGATTGCCAGGTGGAAGACATTAAATAGGGACAGGTAAAGAATAATTTCTAAACCTCTCCTAGTGAGAGAGCCACAGACAAGACAGACCAAGGGCAGGCCCTCAGACATTCTGTGGTCAGAAAGAATCCCATCCTTGATTTTACAGCAGAAGCAAAGACATTTTCTGAGCAGCCAGACAACACCAAGGGTCCCCTAAAGCCAGTTCGTGTGTAAACACACTCAGGCACTTATCACACATGGGTGGTGCATCTACACCTTCCATCAGGCTCACAGCCAACACCTGTGGCTCAGGTCAGCCTCCAAGAGCTTCCCCTCAGTCCACCTCTAAGTTTAATGTTTTAGTGTATTGTTTTGGTTTTTTAAGTCTTCTCTCTCCTCATTTTCTGCCCCAGCAACCAAAGCCAGGCACCAGCAGCATCAGCTCTTTACCTCAACACAACCACCAGCCACCAAGCTGCAGACCTCTCCCAGCTCAGAGGGGCCAGGATGAGCCATCTCTTGGCTCAAGCCAACTATAGCCCATAGCCTTAAGTCTAACACTCAAACCTCAAGAACTGCTTCAGCCTCCTCCTGTTTCCCCTCCAACAGGGGACCACAATAACACCCCAAAAAAACTCTTCTTTTGGAGGAGCTTCCTCCACCCTCATCTCAGCAGAGATGTGCACCACAACCTCCATGCTGACACCAGCCAAGCAGGAGACCCAGCAGAATCCAACCAGCAGCCCTACACTCATCATAGGGTGGAAGAGAACCACCAGATACTCACCACTCCAAAAGAAGAAGAAAGCCACTCACTCCAACTCTCTCCATACCCCATCACCCTCAACTGCCTCTTTTATTGCCCTCATGGAGCCACAAACCCCCCACAGCTCCCCTCCATGATTGGCTCTTCCCAGGAGAGCCTCCCCGTTATCTCCAGCTGCTCCTTTGCCATGGATGCACCTGGTGAGGAGTGGATGATGATGCCTGCCTTCCTGCCTGGGCCACCCTGCTCACTCCCCCACACCTCCTCCATGCATTTGTGCTTTGCCCACTTGAGCCTTGTTAGTGGCCAGACCCTTCCTGGGAGATGCCAGTGTGCACCCGTACGATGTCCCGTGACACAGGGAACAGTCTGGGCGCTGCCACCCCATCGCTGTGCAGGTGAGGGGCAGCGCAGGGGACGGGCACTCTGGGGATGCCTCTCTTTTGTCTGGGTAGCTGGAAGATCCTTGTGAGTGGGGATGAAGGCCAGGAGAGCAGCCACCTTTGGTTGGCAGAGACCAGGACCATGGAGCCAGGCAGCAGCTGAGCAGAATCGGCCACACAGAGGGTGCAAGTGGTCTGAGATGGGATTAAGAAACCTGGAGCAGCAGCGGGCGCTGCTGGCTGGCACAGGCGGGAGCCCAGTGGGGCAGCAGCAGGACATAGTGTGGAGAGAAACCCAACAGGAACTTATCACCTCCATGAGTCTTTTACATTTTGGCCAGGAGCTGCTGGGCAGCTCTTTCCATGCTACTTATGTCCTTATCACAGTCTCCACCAGCTTTGTCACGAGATCGTTGGTGTTTACAACACCCTGACACCAGTTACGTGTCGATGCCCGAGGTGCTGGCGCAGCTTGTCCTCCTGCCCGTGCCACCACCTTGGCCAATGGGGACTGACCTCAAAATAACCACTGGCAGAAGGGTTTGGCTGCAGCACTGCGGGCAGTTTTGGGGACTCTGGAGTGCTGGAGGCATCCTGGTTTTGCAAGTCCTCCACCGCTGGGGTCTGCACCCTCCGCACCCCGAGAGCACAGGCTGGGCCTTCGTACACTGCCAGGTATATACCGCAGGAGCCATTTTGAACTAAATTATATGGGTTACAGGGAAAAACTATTTCACTGTGCGGCCATTTCCAGTATGGATACCTTTGGAAACGCGCTGTGCAATAGCCAGGCTGCTTTAAGTCAGGGATTCAAATCCCGGGGTGACACCGATGCTCCTTTTCACGGCAAACGAAACGAGCTGTACGAAGCTTTGTGCAGAAGGTGATGGGGGGAGGTTTGAGAGAAAACCTCCAGATAAATCTGTGGTTTGTGGGCGTTAGAAACACGGTTGTGCAAATCCTAGATGCCGTGTTTTTAAGTTTCGAGTGCCACCGGTTGCGTTATCTTGTTTCTTGGCTGCTTGAGACAGGAAAATTACATTTCAATTGCTTTTTAATTCAACTTAATCTGGTGCAAAAGTTAGCGTGCGCCCTCTAATTTTGTTTTCTGAGCGGTTTGTTTCAGCTAATTCCTAATCAGCCGACGCTAAACCAAAACAGGCCTGGCTGAAGCTGAAATAGATGAGTCCTCACAACCTTGCCAAGCGATTTAATTAAATTGGCTTAAAATCACGGCCCAAGATAAGTGGGGGCAGCCCCCGGCAGTTGCTCCTCTGCCTGGAAATCTCTCTTGCCCAAGGTGCTGCAGGACACGGACGCACACCAAGGACTGCGAGAAGTTTAGCCTTATCCTGGGCTGCTCTTTCTTTCTCTTCGCTTTCCAGTTCCTCTCCACCTGCCAAGCACAATCAGACCCATCCTGTTCAGTCCTCTGTCACCGCCAGCGCGGGGAGGGAGAGGATGGGGAGAGGAAAAACACGTGCACATTGATTAGCAGCCCCACTGTCCCCAGCCCTCGGTTCGCTCACTGATGGCATTAGAGGTGGCACGGCCGAGCGCTCAGCCCCGCGAGCTGGCAGAGGGCGAGTTCAACCCGCGCCGAGGACACGGGCAGATCCATATTTGCCCAACGGGAAAGGGAACAACCGCTGGAGGGGGAAAAAACCAGAACGTTTCAGTTTTCAGCATAATAAGAGGGTATCACAGCTAATGGAGAGGAAAGGAGATAAAACCCTAAATCGACATGACAGTGTCCCCTGAGCTCAGCCTTGTGTGCTCAAGTGGAAAATCCACGTGGTGACAGGTAGGAAAAGCTGCGGTTCCACTTTGGAGGTTTTTTTCGTGGCTGCTCCCTGCCCCTCTGCCACCCTTCGCCCCGCGCTCCCGCTGGGTTAGTGATGGGTGGCAGATTTGCAAATACCAGTATTAAGCCTTGAGAGAAAAGCACTGATTTTTCTCTCCTCTGTTTTTTTCATATTTCTTTAATAGGTTTACCCTCACCAGGTACCGGTCAGGAAAGATGTCAGCACATGGCACCTCTGCAGCGGGGTCAGCCGAGGCAGGAGCAGCCCAGGCTCCATCACGGGAGGTTGCACGGCCACAGCAGCTGGTCCGAGCAATCCCTCTGTGAAAGGAGAACCTCACCTGGCAGAGAGCGAGCAAAGGCAGGGATCCCTGCCAGCCCCCTGAACGCCTGCTCTCAGACAGCGTATTTTCTCTGTCAGCTCTAATGTAGTCCATTAAGTTACCATCAACAAATTAATTTTACTTATTAGTTACAGGAACACCAAGGAAATATCCGTGTGCGTTCCTGAACCAGTTGCCGAGGTAACTGCTGGTGGATGTGGGGCAATTCCTGAATATGGCAGGGATGAAGCCTGGAAATTCCTCCTTTTTCAGTTGGGATGCATCCTCCCTCCCGGCGCATGATCCGGCGGGAGGCAGCGCTGACTCTGGAGCCTGCCCCAGTTCCTCCCGGGGAGGCAGACGTCAGGCAGCTGGTGACCTCCCCGCTGCCAGCCATGAGATTCATTTCAGTCCTATTGTTGGTTTTGGTTGGAGAGGAGATCAGAGCTGCATTGTGCCAGGCACTAAACAAGCACATAATAAGTGACAGCCCCCGTCCGTTACAGTCTATCTAATCAGGACATGCAGAAGGTGGGAGAAGGGATTTATTGTCATCCCTGTCTTACTGCTGAGCCAGAGGCAAAGCCAAGCACTGCAGCTGGATTTTCCGAGGCTCAAGGTGCAGCTTGTTGTTTCCCCAAATTTAGTGTAGCGGCCTCGAAAAAGTGGTCCTGCTTTTCCCTTCTCTGCAGCCGGGGAGCCAGGGGGATGTGTCAGTTCAGACAGCTCATTCAAAGGGAAAGCAACCCATGAAAATAAAGAAAGAAGTACGGTTTTCCATCAATTCCGTTAAAACTGTGGCCATGGGATCATTGGTAGAGGTAGAGGAGGAGGAGGGTGGCAGCTCACCATCGCATCCAGCATTGCCAGCAGGTGCGGCAGGTCAGGGCAATCCAGTCCCCAGTCCAGTGCCTCGTCCCTGTGGTCGGTATGGGAATGTGCCAGGGTCTGTGATGGGGTTGGCACCAGGAGGAGGGAAGCCTGTCGTAAAGACAGCTTAATTTTCTCCCAAATCCCTGGGAATTTGGCTCGTTAAAGCGGGTTTGATAAATACCAACTCTGCCAGGGTCTCCCACTGCACTGTGGGACATCTCTGTTC